ACCCCTTCAGTAATGGCGGCAGCCCGGTGGGAGAGTCTGTGGGCGGCGAGACGCGCTTCGCCTACTTCCCCACCGCCGCCGTTAGCGACGGGACGGCCGTTTCCGTGCAGGCGGGCGCCGACCCCGCCATCACCCAGGCAGGAGGTGAGGGGGGGGGGGCAGGGGGGGGGGAGGGGGGGGCAGTGGGGGAGCCCAATACCAATACCAATGTTACCAATGTAACCGTGCTGAACTTAGCCGTCTGTTTGTTCAGCTCGGTCCAGCTAGAAGTGGCCCTGTTCTCGTCTCTTCCTTTGTACCGTCGTATTTTACCTCTGCGTTGTGTTTGTTTAATGATGGCCACGAGACAGAATATGTTGATCGACGCCTTTAATCTGCGCGGAACAGAATATGGACTGGTCACATATGGCTCTTCAAACTGGCAACCGCACCTCTCGCGCCCGTCTCGCATATAATGGCCTCTTATGTCTCTCAGGTCAGTTCTATGTGATGATGAGCCCCCCGGAGGTCCTCCAGACGGCGAGCCCTCGCACCATCGCGCCGCGAACGCACACATACACCACGTGAGTACCCCCCCCAAGATGGACGCCGCCCCCCCCCCTCGCCGCCACCGATTCGATTGGTGTTGTTGTACAACGCTCAATCAATCAATCAATCAATCACTTTATTTTGGTAAATTGTCCACATTAAACACAAGAAACAACTAAAGAAAAAAAGAAAAGAACAATAGACAACGCTGCACTTTAACAACTGCTGTGCAATTGTATAATATTTATTGACCTGTGTAATATGTGTACTGTGTGTGAGCCATCAATGATTGTATATATTTTAGTCACCCAAATCTCTGCGCTGTGTTGCTTCCTTGTATATTTGTTTGCTTTTGCTGTACTTTATGCACCTTTTCCTCCTTTTGAACTCTAACCGATGTGTGACCAGTGAATTTCTCCACTGTGAGATCCATAAAGCTTTTATTTATCTTATCTTATCTTATCTTGTTTCCTCCACCGTCTGACACCCCCCTCTGTCCCTCAGAGACCTCAGTGAGAGCGAGACGTTGCAGCCTGGAAGCACCAGCTGGTGAGGATGCCTCCACCCCTCTGCTGAGTCACATTATGCATCCTGAGAATAATTGCTGAGTCAGAGTTCATGTGTCAAAGAGTCAAAAAGCGTTGTTATTTCGGAGGGCAATTTCTGAGTCATATCATTCATCCTGAGGGAAATTGCTAAGTCGTAAATTGCTAAGTCATATTCATCCTTAGGGAAATTGAGTCAGAGTTCATCTCTGAAAGATTTAAAAAAGCTTAATTCATTCTGAAGGAAATTGCTGAGTCAGATTATTCATCCTGAGGAAAATTGCTGAGTCAGAGTTCAGGTTTCGGAGATTCAAAAAGCTTTGTTCATCCTGAGGGAAATTGCTGAGTCAGAGTTCATGTGTCAAAGATTTAAAACAGATTCATTCATTCTGAGGGAAATTGCTGAGTCAGATTATTCGACTTGCTGTAACCTGTGATACAAATTGAAATTAAAGAAATGCAACTAAAGCAGTGATGAATTACAGCTGCATTTTAAAATACAACGAATAAGTACTGAACAGAGAAATGCTCAGTGGATGTTTGTGGGAGAATAAACTGATGGTGTGTTTTCAGGAAGGTGGACGGACCGCGAGCGCCCCGGGACGAGCGGCGGCGAGCACAACACAATGAAGGTCAGAGCACTGAAAATAACAAGTAAAACCATCGAAAATGAGTTTAGAAAAGGAGAACTTAAAAACTAAGATCAAAAGATGGATGGAAACACAAATAGACAAAATAAAAACCAGAAAAACTTCTCATACTCAATTTTGGAGCTCTTTATTTTCATAAAAAACATTTCATTACCAGTTTGTATTTGTCTGTGGGGAAAATGGTCTTTAGGCTTCAGCCTAAAATTTGCAGAAGTCCCTTAAAAACTCTTTATTTCCCTTTTGGGACATTTTGGGAGAAAATGTAGAAATCATACAGATTTGCTGAGTCGTGGGTGTTTTTGCTCGTTTGCAGTGGAGAGAAGAAGAAGAGACAAGATCAACAACTGGATTGTCACGCTGTCGAAGCTGATCCCCGACTGCAGCGTGGACAGCAGAACCGGAGCGGTGAGCAAGCCAGAACCCACAGAAAAACCACTCTGGAAAAGAACTTTTCAATAGGAGAGACATTGTGTAGTATTTTAAGTATTTTACTAGCTAAAATCATTCTCTTAATTAATAAAATGACCTCTGCTTCTCATAAGGAAGAATTTCCTATCTGTTTGTACACAGGATGGGCAAGTCCAGGGAGGGTTTCCATGGCGATCCGCTATTTTGAAAAACTAGAATGGCAGAGAGGGCCATAAAGCACTAGTCTGACTGTCTAGCTAAAAACAAGCTAACATGGCAATGTAATTTGCTGTCTTGTTGGAGGAGTAATTACAAGCTCACACTAATGATTCAATTTAGTAATTTAATTTAAATTACAAACCTCATCACCAGAGAAAACTCCATAATGTGGAAGTCATGCTGTCATTACGGCGGCAATTAATATGTCTGTAAAATAGCTTAAAATAGCTTTGAAATGTCTAGAAATGGGTCAAATGGGTCAGTCAAGTGACTGAAACCAGCTATAATAAGTGAAATAATAATCCTAATAAGTTCGTTAGAATGCAGAATTCAGTTTCACCGTTAGATGGAGGAATTCCTTTCAGCTCAGAGTAGCCTGGTGAGGCTTTAAAAGTGGATGTTTGACAGTCTCAAACCGTCTCGTCTTCAGAGTAAAGGAGGCATCCTGTCCAAAGCCTGCGACTACATCCGGGAGCTGCGTCAGAACAACCAGCGCCTGCAGGACAGCTACAAGGAGGTGGAGCGGGTGGAGATGGACAACGAGCTGCTCAGACAACAGGTGAGCTCTGGTTTTCTTCCATCTAACTACCTAAAACTACACAAGTGGCTCCATTTAATGATCTTATTCTGGATAAACATCAACATCTGAGCCTCCGATCCAAACTAGAGTCCAGAGAACTCGGAGTTCTGCTGGTTTTCCTCCAGAATGAGGCTTCATTTCCTCTGTTCCAGCCTCCAGAAATGAAGGAAACTTTGTGCTGATGTGGTAAAACCAGTCGACTAAAAGCTGGAACTCAGAGCTGTGGATCATGTTAGACTTCCGGTTTTAGAAAACAGCCACTCTGAGCTGGAGGACAACAGCTGGACTGTTTGCTGCCATTCAAAACCCTGAAATGCTTCAGATCAGCATCCTGATCAGCTCTGACAGCAGCAGGTTTTACATCCAGCTGTGAGCCTCTGACCAGAACCAGAGAGGAAACTACGCACACTTTCTGGTTCTGCCTCCAGAACCAGCTCTGATTTCCACTAAACTAACTGTTCCAGCAAATGTTACAGACAGAAGTGGAAACATGTGTTCAGGGGCTGGAAACAGCTTCACTGAGCAGCAGAAATTCCACATTTGAATCTGAAAAAGCTGAAAAAATCCCACCAATTAATTTGGGGATTTAGGAATCAGATAAATTGCTAAAAGGAATAAAAATAAATCAGAATATCTCAAATGGAAATGGTTTAAGGTCATAGAACAGGAGGTGTTCTTACAAACTCAGGAACCAGAACCTTCTGGAAGCCTCCATCTGGATGGAGCTCCTCAATCAGAGCAAACTTTAGCTTAACAGTTTTCCACCCTTCCTTTTTGCATCTTTTCTGACGCCGCCGGCCTACTTTGTTGTTCCAGATCGAGGAGCTGAAGAACGACAACGCGCTGCTCCGCGCCCAGCTGCAGCAGCACGGCGTGGAGCTCAACGGGGACGCCACGCCGCAGTGATGGTGGACGCCTCCCACCTCGCCTGGACCCAGGCCAGAGGCGGCCTCCACCCTGAGGGGCGGCCTCCACCCTGAGCTGGACCACAGAGAGGAGGTCGCCCGGCAACGGTTGCCGGCCGCCGCTCCGTTAGCCGAACCTCTCTGAACCCGCCACCATTTACTTTGAACTTTTCCACCTTTTTTAAAAATATTTTGAACTCCTTCCTGCTTATTGGCTGTGTGTGAAACTACTAAAAGTCAGATGAACAGTCGCTCCCATTCTGGTTTAATTTATTCAGCAAGGTGCTGGCAGAGCGGCGTTCGGACCCGTGACGGCGCTCCACGCCGCCTCCTTTACTGTCAGCCGATCGTGGTCCTCTGCCAGTAAAAGCTGGAGGGGCTTTGGGAGCTGGAGCGCTGCCATGTTTGTCCATGTAGCTCAGGTAACGAGGACGGAGCACCTCAGAGTGGTTCCCGACTCAATGAAGTCTTCATGAAGACAGCTTAGGTCTCCTTTGTCCTCTAGGTGCAATGTACAGACACAAATGATGTGAAGGTGGTTTTCAGCTAAAGAACTCCCAGGTGGGCATTAAACTTTGGGTTGTGAATCTGCGGGTCGCCGGGACGTCCTGGACTTCAGGTCTCGGCCTGCGTCGGCCCGGTTTCATCCCGGTCCAGCTGGATTTTAGTAGCTTTGTCTTGTTTTTTTTTATAATAACCCCTCAAACGGAGACTTTGGGAGCCGTTGCTGCTGACTAAGTGGGGCCACAGGGGGTGTTAGTGATGACTTCCGACTAACCTGCTTTTGTCCACACTGCGAGTCACCACAGCATGGAGGTTTAACCACTGGCATGACTAAAACCTGAAACTTCAATAAAACAGACGTGTTTATACCCGAGTCGTGTTGGTACAAGGGAAACCTTAAGGTTCTTTCTCTAAGCTGCCTCAAGTTTCTTTCAACATTTTGTGACCCACCATGGTGTGTTTAAACATCTCTGCAGAGCAATATTTCAGGTTTCGAAAGCTGTAACATCTGAATTTATTAATAAACTTTACTAATTTACTAAAACTTTACGTGAAAAAATATATATAATAGTGCTCCCCCTACTAATCACAATCCACTTTAACAGAAGTTAATTGCTGGAACAGCTTTTACCAAAGAAAGAGCTCCTTTAGTTTAAGCACAAAAATACTTGAACATTTAAAAACAATTTTTTTTAACGGTTTCTGAACTTTATTGTGTAGGTTTGTTGGCCGGAGACTGCTTTAGTAACTGTTGCTAGGGGAACCCCGGTCCGGGACGCTACCAGCTTCACGCGCAGACGGGCCAGAACATTCTAGAACTCCCGTGAGTAAAATGGGATTTAAACGTCATTTTCGCGATGTTTCCGAACTAAGTTTTTCCCTATTTGATCTAAAGCAAGAGCTCTTTAAATTTAGGCTGGAATTTGACATTTGTGTGAACAATTATTGGTCCAATGGACCGTTTGCTCAGAACCGAGCCGGTTCCATTTTTACTCTCCACTTACTTGATCCAGGTGGACTTGCTGTAATGGATCATTATCAGGAAAGCAATATCTAGGTTTACACTGATTAAAATTACATATAAAGTAAGATATTAACAGCCAATCCTTTAATGATTAAACCGATACAGCCATGGGGTTATTTGAGTTATATCAGCAGCCAAGTGCTATTTCAAAGTATTTGCTTTTCCACCAAAAGTGAAGTGTTACACTTCATTAAACAGTCCTAATTTATTTCTGTATTTAAATAACAAATAAAACAGCTGCAGATTTCCTGAAACCTGCAGATAAACCAAAACCTGCAACAGAAACTTGCACAGTACTTATGGTGACATAATAGAAATATGGATAAAATAACATCTGCCCCTCAGGTACGCATAAGAGGTGAAAGAAAATACGTTTTCATGAGTTTTATTCCAAGTTTTAAATATAATGAATGAAACAATAGCCTCTTTCTGCCTCTTTCATTATTCATTTAAACTTATTTTAAACATTTGACGTTACACAGCTGCTGCTGCGAGTCTGTAGGTTTAAGCTTGACACAATAAAAAGTCTGAACAGTGAACATCAGGATGTCGACACTTCCCGCCAAGCCTGGCCTGCGCCGCAGCGTTCCTGATTGGTTCGGTAACAACCAGCAGCTGTCCGCCACAGCCCAACATGAGCGCCACGTTTCCACCACCATCCGACAGGAGGGAAGGTCTCTGCGCAACCAGACCCGCTCTCAGGTGGGCGCTTACCGGGTTTGTTGGCCCGATTTGAAGCCTGAGAATAAACCAGAGTAGATCAAGAGTACAAATATGAAATGTACTGGTCTCAGGCAAAGTAAATCAGCTGGGCCCTGACCCACAAACCTCCCTGAGAATCTCAGTTGGCCAGAGCCTCTATTTCTGGGTGTGATGGACATTTATCTTCTGGGCTGGTTCTGAAAGACTGGACACAACCGAGTGTTGTTGGCCAGTTATCTCTCATATGAACAGGCCAGCTGCTAATTCATGCAGATTTCACTGAAATGTGATCAGAAAGTGTGGATGTTGAGCTTGAAGATGAGTATCTACAGTAACAGAGAGAAGGAGAATTTGTGGGCTCAGCCAGAGAGTTAAACACCAGAGTCCAGTTCTAAAAGGAATAAGACAATCAGTCATTTACATGGATTATGTTATAGCATACAATGCTAATGGGAATAACTAGCGTCCCGCCATGTTGCTGCTCCCATCTGTAGACGGTCTGGGATGAGAGCGACTCCTCTCGCAGGCTCCGCGACCGGGTTTGGGACGTGTCTCGATGGAGGGATGTGCTGGAGAGCTGCGCTCTGAAGGTGGACGACGAGATGGAGGCTCTGACGCTGGTGGGTGGAAAAACCTTTGACACCCTCACGAGAGGGAATTGTTGGGTTTCTGTAGTTAACTTCAGAGTAGGGTCTGACTTGCTCTGTTTGGAAAGCGCTGTGAGATGACTGTTGTTGTGATGTGGCGCTATATAAATAAAATTGAATTGAATTGAGAGCTTTGTTCTCCTCTGAGTCTTGGGTGGATGTGAGGGTTGTGCTGGTGTGTGTTGGGACAGACCAAAGAGCTGAGCGAGCAGGCCCTGGCCGCCACCGCCGTGCCCCTGGAGGTCAGCACCGAGTGCCTGACGCTGAGGGAGGGCCGGCAGGGCTGCGAGCTGGTCACCGACTCGGTGGAGGAGCAGCTCAGGAAAGAAGTGGAGCTGATTGAGCGGGTGCAGCTGAACCTGCAGCAGCAGATCGACCAGGCCTTTGAGCAGCTGTGGTGAGCTCCAGCAGGCACTGACGGATGCTGACCTTTGACCTCTGACCCCTGCCTATTAGTGAGGCACAATTAATTGCAATGTCAAGCTGTGCAATTATGTAATCACATAACACACTGCGATTTGCAATTTTGTAAACATTATGCATGTTTGTGCTTGTGAACGGGATTTTTTCTTTTAAAAAAAGAAAGAAAGAAACTCTTTATCTAACATTTTGAAAAATACAGACATTGAACATACCCTACTTGAAAATAGAGGCATATCAGGTTTTGTAATTTTTTGTGTCATGTTTTTTTGTTTTCAGTTGAAAAATATACTCAATGATTGTAATTCTCTGTGTAGTCCTTGATATTCAAGCATGCAGAGTCACGACACCCTTCATTATAATATCGCAATATAGTCCACAATAATCACAATCGCACATTTTCATCAAATCATGTAGCACAACTGCCTTCATATTGCTGTCTAAGCACTCTGCAGGAGACTCGACACCAGCTGACCACCGACCTCCAGAACAAGATGGAGGCTCTGGAAATTGACCAGTCCTGCCTGTCACTCACGATAGAGTCATCCAATATCTCCCTGAAGACCAACCCGACCCGCATACCACCAGGGTAACACTTCATGTTTACAGTTTTAACATTTATGGTCTTAAATATTCCACTTTTAAAGGTGACATTTTCTGTATTACCGGACTGCAAAACTCCCCCAAAACCCTACCCTCGTATTTTCAGTCTCCCTTTATTAAAGAAGCATTTCTCATGCTCATTTCCAATAGATATCACACTAGCATCACATTATTAACATGCTTCCAATAAAGATGGATGTCTTAAATGAGGTTAAAATACTCAAAATGTAATAAACAATACACGTGTGTTGCTATGAGTTATTCTGTGTACATCTCCAGCTTGGTCCATTAGCATTGTTTGCTAGCAACTGCTCTTAGCTTACAACCAGCTGCTAAACAGGAAGTATCTGTTTCTGTATGTAGAGCTGGAGGGTTTTTGGTCTACCTGAAGGAACAGCTTAATTATGGAGATGCTGACATCTCCTAAAGGCCTAGTTATTTTTCTCCACCCTGGAAATGGACTGTTAGCAAAGGGGAGTTGAAACAGGGCTCAGATAGAGAGCTACAATATGGTTTTAGACCAGTCTGTCTCAAACAGAATATGTCACCTTTGATTCAGAGTTTTGGGCTTTGTGTGCTGAGATATTGATCAATGCAGGTCCAGCACCCCCCAGGAGTGGGTCCAGTTCAGCCAGTACAATGTGGTCCGTGCCCAGGAGGCCATGCAGGCGTCCCAGCAAACCAGGGAGAACATGGACCTCAGCAGAGCCCAGGTGGGTCAGACACCTGGGACAGATGGATCCACCATCAGAAGGAATCTAGGAGTCTCTTTACAGCAGCCTTTTTCCCTATTCTGTCTCAACCTGTTAAATGTCCTACTGTCCAATTAGCCGTCTTTACATGTAAAGTGACGTTTGTCATCCAAACGATGGAAAACACAATCTTTTAATGTCTTAAAATCATACATTTGGGTTTTTAATATTTTTTGATCCATGATTTTATATTCTTTGTTGGAAAAGTGCTTAAATGTGTTAGAAAAGCATGTGTTGTGATGAAAACTATGCTTTCCTTTATACTAAATAAATTACATTAAATATTCAGTAATATTTCTATATTATAGCCTCATCAGAAAGTCTTTTTCACATGATTTCGAAGTAAGAAACTGTCCTCTGCTAATTGAATTTTTAGGATAGGACCGGACACTTTCATTACTTTATGGGAACACACTATTGCTTTATACTATAAAAATTAATTTATCTGAATTTTTTATGGCTTTAAGGGACCAAAAAGCTCCTGAAATGGATGTAAAAACATGAAAATTAGTTCTTCAGAGGGCTGATAAGCTGTTTTGGTCCCTGTCGAAATGCTTTGTCTTCATTCACTCTGATATTGGCGGGTCTCAGTGTCATTTGGATGATTAATTCTTGTACTTTGCAGCTGAGGAATGAGCTGGAGACTCAGTTCAGGACCACCGAGTTTGCTCTCCGAAAACGCACCCACCTGGAGGAGCAGGCCCGGGACGAGCTGCAGTGGCAGACCACCAAGGTTCGAGGAACTGGTCCGGCCTGGTCCGGAGCCTGGAGGGCAGAGCTGATGGAGGCTTGTCTCTGACCACACAGACTGAGGAGGAGATGGCTGAGATGGAGAGGGACATCCAGGGGCTGGAGGCAGACCTCCAGGCTAAGACCGCCTGCCTGAAGCTGGCTCACACCCGGCTGGAGACCAGGACCCAGAGGCCAGGCGTGGACCTGTGCAGGGACCAGGTCTGTGTGGACACTTTGCCTCCAGACGGATTCTCAGATGTTAATGAACATGCTTTATTATACCTCAATGGGACATAAATAACAATCTGTAACAACCAGTAACACAATTATAGCCCTCCTTTAAAATACGTAAATAAAATCAAATAATGTTCTCCATACGAACTCTTCTGGATTAGAAAACAGCTTCAACAAAATACTTTTTAATAAAGGAAACAGTCTCACAATGATACAAACTCCACAAACAAAAAGGATCTATACTAAGTATTGATATATACTATGAATACCATACTAGTATATATCCTTTTTGCCCCACTTGTTGCGACCGGGACGGTACGTGGAAATTTGTTCCACACACCAAAAACCTACGATAACTCCTTAATAAATAGTGCAGATAATTACACATAGCAAAAAAACAAATGCATCATATAAGAGAGATGTAAAAAGAAATTATCAATAAAAAGGGTTTTTATTGGCACTTTATCTCAGAGACTGAACGAAGGTAGAGGTGGAGACTGAGATACAGGACGTAACCTAACTTACTGTAACTTTCACTACCTGAACTTTAAACTAACTTAGCTAACTTTTTAAAATTGAATTTGTATATTTTATATATATATTTCCGTGAATCAACGTCATATGTTGGACATTTACTTAGAGTGTCGAACTTCAGATGTTGGAAAATTTGTATGTTTAGGCATCGTAGGCAGAGGTTCTGCTGTATTCTGAGCAAAGCCCCAGTCGATTTAAGAATACGATTACGGTCCCACGAAAAACAGTGAAAACTGGACATTTTCATGAATCAATAATCCCCCTCCGGACGCCCCGGCTCAAGGTGTCCTGTCGGTGTGCAGGTGCAGCTCGGCCTGGTGGCTGAAGTCCAGCAGCTGGAGGCCACCATCCTGGTTCTGAGGCAGAAACTCTCCGAGGCCCAGTGAGTTCTTCTTCTTTACTCGAGGGGGCAAAGCCCATGTCAGAAATCACCTCCTTCTTCACCTTATTTTTTGTCTTTGTTTCTGACGTATATTTGTGTGTTTTTTGTGGTCATTTTGTACGTCTTTACAGTTGTTTTGTGTCTCTGTGGTTTTCTTGTATCTCTTTGTGGTTGTTTTTGTGTCTCTTTATGGTACTTTTGTGTCTATTTGTGGTTGTTTTGCGTCTCTTTGTAGTATTTTTTTGTCTTTTGTGGTTATTTCGTACATCTTTTCAGTTGTTTTCTGTCTTTGTGGTTTATTCTCTCTTGGTGGTACTTTTGTGTCTTTTTGTGGTTATTTTGTACGTCTTTTCAGTTATTTTGTGTTACTCTGTGGTTGTTTTGTGTCTCTTTGCAGTTGTTTTGTGTCTGTTGTCTGAAGTATTGGGTACTATCTTTTTGGAAAGTGTCTCAGCCTAAGGAGGAGAAAACAGAAGTGCTTCTGCTCTGTGTGCTCAGACTGTCCCTGCAGAGGATGAAGCTCCACCAGGCCCGGATGCTGCAGGACCTCAGCAGGAAGCAGGAAGCTGTATCTCTGGAGCAGCGCAGCCTGAGCAGCCGGGCCCGCATCGCCACGGCAACCGCCGCCGCCGCCACGGCCACGCCGCCCCACGTCCCGCTCACAAACTCCAGCGGGAGGAGCGGCCTGCAGCTGCTGGCCCTGTGAGGACGGCCACAAACATCCCAGACAGCTTCTGAGGACACAGCAGGGCCATCTGCGCATGTTTATGCAAAAGCTCTCACGCTGCCTCCTTATCGCCATGCGCTTTAATGGCTCTGTTTTCTGTCACAATGTTTGATCAGGGAGGCTGTTGGGAGTATAAAGCTGTGATAATGAGCCGAACTTTGACTTTGGTTTGGGTAAATAAAGTAGTAAACAGGGTGCTCTCCACAATAAACCCATAAATCTCCCCTGTCTGGGAAGCTGTGCGCTAGAGTGGATGTTTTCGTGTTGGTTTGACCTGGAATTAATTCATTACTCCATCATTTGTGGGGAGTTCAGGAGCTGATTGTTTTTTGGGTTTCTGATATGATTTTGCTCCATTTTGTGTGTTTCTGTGACTCTCTTTGTCGTGTTGGAGATTAGTTAGTTTCTGTAGGATTTTTCTTTTTGGTAGTTTAGTGTTGATATTTGGTAGTTTAGTGTCTCTTTGTGGTAGTTACACCCACATTGTAAGAAGGAGAGATACCGGGGGTCCTTCATACCAGCTGCTGTCAGGATACACCTGCACTACCTGAATCATGTTGTAGCCTCAGTGAGTGGGTCAATATTTTAGTAACTCCCCTTGTAAATTAGCTTTATTTAGGCCTCCGCTAGACTTTGTGCTTTTCCCTTTGTGCCCTTTATACTGTAAGGTGTGAATTTATCTGCTGTGGAATCAATAAAGTGTTCTATTCTGCTCTATTCTGCTCTATTTTAGATCAGGAGAGCAGGTTAATGTCTTTCCAGCCCCCCCACTCCCCCCCGATCACTTAGGCAGAGCTCGGCTTCCTGATCGCTCCTATTATTCTGAATCATTTCACTTAAGGGCCCAGATGCTACCTGTCTGCGGCGCTGGGCTGAGAGGGTGATTAGGGCCGGATGGAGCCGGGTTAATGCCTCCTTATCAGCCTGTGATGTCACCGCGCCTCGCCCTCCGCACGCCCACCTCCAGGCCGCCGCCCCCTTCCTCCCACCCCTTCTGTTTTGCCGCCCGAGTCTGAGTCCAGAGTGCAGGATGGCGGCGGAGCGTGCGGGCGCCGGCGGCCCCCGCTGCTAGCATAGATGGAGCTGAGCGTGCCGGAGGGGGTGGCGCTCGCCATCCACTGCTTCACCTTCCTGCTGGGCCTGCCCGCCAACCTGCTGGTGCTCGCCGTTTACGTCCGAAAGGCTCGCAAGCACGGCGCCACGCCCAACGTGGTCTACGCCATCAACCTGTGCCTGGCCAACCTGGCCTTCGTGGTCTGGCTGCCCGTCAA